CCCCAAAACCCCAAAACCCCAAAACCCCAAAACCCCAAAACCCCAATAATTAGGCTAAATTGAAAGTATTATAATTAAAAAAAATTAGACTCACGATTATGGATCGACTCAAAGAATTCAAACAACTGTCATTGGTCAAAAGAGTTATGGATGAATGTGAGAAATGACTCGGAGCAAAAGAGAAAGTCCTCGCTGATTTCATCATCGACTTGGCTAAGAAATCTGAGAATATCCAGGAATTTCAAGATAAATTAGCCGAAAATGGGGCTGAGTTCGAGCATAGTGTTGTGAAACTTATATTTGATAAGACAACTAAGATATATAACATCTCTAAAATGCCTAAAAAGAACTTTACTAAAGGTGGAATGATGAGTGCCGAGACGGAGAAAATGGAGAAGCTAGAGACAGACAGACCTGAAGCCAGGGGAGAAAGACAAAAAGAACAGGAGATAATTACCCAAGTTTTACCTTCTCTCGCTATGCCTAATATCAAAAAGGAAGAAATCAACCTTGACTTAGACTTCGATAAAGGAAATGATGAAGAAAAGAAGAGCGATAGAGGTCGAAAGAGTAAACATCAAAGAAAATCTAGCTCTGATAGTGATAAACAAAGGAGAAACAAGCGGAGATCCCCCTCAAGTTCTCACAGTAGAGGCAAAAATCGCAGAAGAAGCAGATATTCTCGTTCTCATAGCCGAGAAAGAAAGCGTAGAAGATCATTCAGTAGAGACCCTGATAAGAAAGATCGGAGGCATGAATCCAGAAGGAGACATAGAAGGGATTCTAAATCTAGGAGTCCTTCTGACCCAAGAAGAGATAGACACTCGCGAAGAAGAGAAAGAGACTGGAAATATACTGAAGAATCTCAACCAAAAATTGGGTCAATATATCGAGGCGTTGTCAGAAATGTTCCTGAGTATGGAGCCTTTGTTGCACTTGATGGTTTCAGAAGAAAGGAAGGCTTATGCCATGTCTCTCAAATCAAAATAGAAGGGAGATTACGAAATGCAAGTGACATGCTGAGGAAATTTGATAAAGTTTTTGTCAAGGTAATCGCCATTAAAGAAGATGGCAAGATTTCCCTAAGCATGAAAGAGGTAGATCAAGTGACAGGAAGAGATCTTAACCCAGCTCATACAGAAGAACTAGTCACTGGAAAAGAACAAGATCCTCTTGAACAGCTTCATGAGAGAGGTCATTATAGAAACCCTGTTAGACCCAAATATGGGGATGCTCCTTCAGGTCCTAATATTACAGGAATCACTAATGATATAAATGATACAGGTGATGTGAAGAGGGTCAGAAGAAATTCTAATGATATGTGGGAAATCACCAGACTCCAAGGAGGCCAGGTCATGGACAAAGATAATGATCTCCAAATAGATAGAACCGTCCCTGAAAATCTTGAAGAACTTGATGAAGAAGATCAAGAACTTGAAAGAAACGAAGAGCATGCTCCTTTCCTCAGATTTTCTAAAACTAAGACAGGGATTTCTCTTTCACCCATTAGGATTGCTAAAAATCCAGATGGATCCTTAAACAGAGTGGCTATGAAGCAAGGTCAATTCTTGAGGGAGAGAAAGGCTGACAGAGAGCAAAAACTAAAAGAGTTGAAAGAAATAGAGCAAGAAAAATCAGGAGGCTTTGCATCCTCTACTGGCTTCAACAACAGAGGTGGCATCCCGGAATGGAAGAAGAAAACTATGGGAGAGAAGCCAGAATATGGTAGAAAAGTTAGCCAATCAATGAGAGAGCAGAAGGAAGGACTCCCTATCTATCAGCTCAAAGCTGATCTTATCCAAGCTATCAATGATAACAGAATTTTGGTTGTCATCGGAGAAACAGGTAGTGGTAAAACAACACAGATGACTCAATACATGGTTGAAATGGGTCTTCATAGGAGAGGAAGGATTGGATGCACACAGCCAAGAAGAGTAGCAGCAATGTCAGTTGCAAAAAGAGTATCTGAAGAATTTGGATGTAGAATTGGGCAAGAAGTAGGTTACTGTATTAGATTTGAAGACTGCACTTCTCCCTCTACCATCATTAAATACATGACAGATGGTATGCTCTTGAGAGAAGCTTTGATTGATTCTGAACTAAATCAGTACTCATGTATTATTCTTGATGAGGCCCATGAAAGGACTCTTGATACAGATGTTTTATTCGGATTGTTAAAGAAAGCAATGAGCCAAAGAGATGATCTAAAGCTCATTGTAACTTCAGCTACTCTTGATGCTGTTAAGTTTTCAGAATATTTCAACGATAGTTTCATTTTCAGAATTCCAGGAAGAATGTTCCCAGTTAAGGTTCTCTTTTCTAAAGCTCCTCAAAGTGATTATCTTGAAGACGCTCTTCAGACTGTTCAGCAGATTCATCTAAATGAGCCAAGAGGAGACATTCTAGTGTTTCTGACAGGTCAAGAAGAAATCGATACTGCTTGTCAAGTGTTATATGAAAGAATGAAAGCTCTTGGAGATGATGTCCCAGAGTTGATTCCCTTACCTGTCTACTCAGCTTTACCATCTGATTTACAATCTAAAATCTTTGAGCCAGCTCCAGAAGGATCAAGAAAATGTATTGTTGCTACAAATATAGCAGAAGCAAGTCTTACAATTGATGGAATCTTCTATGTTGTAGATCCTGGCTTTGCTAAAATTAAGGTGTATAATCCTAAACTAGGAATGGATACACTCGAAATTGCTCCAATCTCCCAAGCTTCAGCAAACCAGAGAGCAGGAAGAGCTGGAAGAACAGGACCAGGAAAATGATATCGTTTATACACAGAGGATCAGTTCCATAATGAGATGCTCCCTTCAACTGTACCAGAAATTCAGAGAACTAATCTTGCAAATACAGTCCTTGTCTTAAAAGCAATGGGTATCAATGATTTAATTCATTTTGATTTTATGGATCCTCCTCCAATCCAGACTTTAATCACAGCAATGGAGGAACTTTACAATTTAGGAGCCTTAGATGATGAAGGGCTTCTCACCAAACTTGGTAGAATAATGGCAGAATTTCCTCTTGCTCCACAACTATCAAAGATGCTTTTGACATCTGTTGATCTAGCTTGCTCAGAGGAAGCAATCACTATTGTAGCAATGTTGTCAGTCCAGAATATTTTCTATCGTCCAAGAGACAAACAGCAACAAGCCGATCAGAAGAGGGCCAAATTTTTCCAACCTGATGGAGACCATCTCACAATGCTGTGTGTCTATGACATGTGGAAGCAACAAAACTATAGCACAGAATGGTGCTTTGATAATTTTATCCAAGCAAGAGGACTCAAGAGAGCCCAAGATGTTAGAAAACAGCTCATCAGTATTATGGAAAGATATAAGCTTAAGGTTACCACTTGCAGAAATGATCATAAAAGACTAAGAAAAGCTATTGCAGCTGGATTTTTCACACATGCAGCTAAGAAAGATCAACAAGAAGGATATCGTACAGTTGCTGATAATCAGAATGTCTACATTCATCCCTCTTCAAGTCTATTTAATAAGAATCCTGACTGAGTGGTTTATCATGAACTTGTGATGACTTCTAAGGAATACATGAGAGATGTATGCTGCATTGATGCCAAATGGCTTACAGAAGTAGCTCCTAAATACTTCAAAACATCAGATAAGAACACTATCAGCAAGCGTAAGAAACAAGAAAAGATTGTACCTCTTCACAACAAGTACGAAGATCCAGATGCATGGAGGTTGAGTAGAAGAAAATTGGAATAATTTTGTTGTCTATTCAACAAAAATAAGGCAGATTGGGGTTTTGGGGTTTTGGGGTTTTGGGGTTTTGGGGTTTTGGGG